GTGGCATTGTTTATAAGTGCTTATGAAGATAGGTATGTAATTATATGTATAAAATCAATGTAGAGTATACACCCTTCATTTTATTATGAACATAAAGCTCTTTTGGTCAACTTAGATCACTGTGACTAACAATACTATATCAACAGTGGAAATAGGATACGTAGTACTTCAATAGTAGATTAAAACTTTTCAGTTTCTGATTTTATGTAAATCTTTATGTACCACTAAAACTGGAAAATTACAATGATGGTTTACGGTAACATTTTTAGGATCCTTTATCTCAAAATAAAAAAATGAAACCCTTATGTCTACCAATACTCAAAGGATCATTTTGATGTCCGTGCGGTCTGTCCATTTGTCTTTCTATCTGTCAAGATCTTTTTTTACCAAAAACGTTAAGGTCTTTAGTGCCTTGAAAATTCAAGCTTCTAACTCATCGCAATCAAACGATATGGCTAATTATGTAACATATTTTGATATTCGCAAATTGTCTTCCCAAAGATGTCCATTAAATTTGCCACTTTAGTTTCGGTTAAGCAGAATAAGTGAAGAAAAAATATCTAAAATCGTTAATTATATTTATATCACATGAAACCATTTTTTGCCATTACAATCTTACGCTTGCATTTAAAAAGAACATTTTTTGAGAGAGTTCTGTGTCCGTTTGGTACGGATTAAAACTTTAGCTGTAATCTTTAAACCAGTTTCAAAAAACAGGAAATTCTCAATCCGTCGAAATATTTTTGTGTATATTCAATGATCATACCATACCATGTTGTTCGATTTCAAAGATGCATTTTTATTAGAAAGGAAAAATTTGATGATTGCCTGATATACTCATGAGGTGCTTACCTCATGAGTATATCAGGCAATCATCAAATTCTTCAATTTGTAAAGTCATCGGCACGAAATAAGGGCGAATAATAATTCTTTACCAAATTAACCGACTTCGATGAATATATTTTTTTAGTTGTATAGATTAAGATTTATATATTATATACTAATTTTTTAAAATATTATTTACCAATAAATTATACTAGATAATAAAAGAAAAAATCAAAGTACCGTAGTAAAGTAATATCCTAAATATACTATAAATATGCTAGCGAAAGCCAGACATGTGGTTAGAGTATTCATTGAGAAGCAAAAGTCACGTCTCGGCAATACACGTCGACGATATATTGCAAGTTTCTGGCCGTTTTCGCTTAGTCATGTCGTTTTTTACTATATCTATTATGTAACTAGAGTTATTTTATATCTTGATGTAGAGAGTTGTTTACTGACAGTTTTACTATCAGAATAAAATGAACAAAATAAAAGATGCATTCTTCGCACTGTATATATCAGTAGGAATGGAATAGTTGCAATAGATATGCGCAACTATGTAGCAACATATCATAATGCAATATAGCTCTACAATGGTAAAAATGGGCGGCAACTCAACCGAGGAATGCCTTCCAAATAAAATAATGAAATCCATTTTTGTTCTTAAGCTTCTTATTAACCTTCTTATTAACCAAACACTGTCGCAAGGAATTGTCCCAAACTTAATAAAAATAGCAATAGTCAAACCGCTACACAAAAAACACGACCCCGAAAATTGCAATAATTATCGTCCAATAGCACTTCTCTCAACATTTTCCAAAATATTTAAGACAGTCATGTATAACAGACTCTATACCTTTCGTGAAAAATATAATATATTAAATGACGGACAATATGGCTTTCGAAAGGGTCGCTCTACAGCACTCGCAGTGTATATATACATAAGGGAAGTATTAAAGATAATTGACAAGAAACAACACGCTGTTGGTATATTCTTAGATATGAGCAAGGCATACGATAGGGTTTCTCTCTCGATCCTATTAAATAAACTTTGTAATGTGGGTGTGAGAGGTCTGGCCTACGAATATGGTTTGTATCTTACCTTAATCAATGCGTCCAGTATGTAGATATAGGCTACAGAGACCCACAAACCAGAATTGTTGAGACTGTAAGGTTTAAAATTTTTTTATTAAAACATTCAATAACCCAGGGTAGCGTGCTGAGCTGTTTGCAGTTTTTAATATATGTGAATGATCTTCCGAATATATGTAATATCCCCTGTATTCTTTTTGCTGATGATGTTTCATTAATTCTTCCCTGTCCCAATAGCACAGATTTACACCATCTCCTAACCTCTAATTTAAATGTAATAAATTGCTGGCTCCAAGATCACAACCTCGAGATTAATTTCAAAAAGACTAAACTTTTGCAATTTAGGCCATACCAAAAACGCCCCTTACATATCAACTACCAATACCTAAATATTCCCTTAGAATCTGTTAACTCTCACTATCTCCCGGGTATAAATATAGATGCACATTTAAATTGGAAGGAACACATTAATAAAATTGTCAAAAATTATCTAGTTTTACATACGCTCTTATAGAACTTAAAAAAAAAAACACCGACTTAAAAACAGCAACCTGTGCCTACTACGCGTACGCAGACACCTGGATACGCTACGGTGTGGTACTTTGGGGTAACAGCACAGCACAGACGCTAACAAAGTATTTCTAATTCAGAAAAAATGTATTCGCATATTTGCAAATATCGACTCCATAACAAGTTGTAGAAATTACTTTAATATTTAATATACTGACATTAACATCCATATATATATCCGAAATATACTCACTAGTTAGAAATAATATCGACTGGTTCCCTCAATATTTTCGGCCTAAAAATTTAAGACCAAAAATAAAATTATCCACAGTTACATAAAAATTTACAAATCTTAAACACCCTATGCCATGTCAATAAAAATATATAACAAAATTCCAGAACAAATCAGAAGCATTAAAAGCATTAAAAAATTTAAAAAGGAAGTTAATACATATTTAACGAAAAAATGTTATTACTCGTTGCAGGAGTTTTTTAGTGATTGAGTAGGAAATAGGAAATTGAAACAAATAAATAATATAATATGATCCAATTCATACTTAAGTTAATTGTAAATATTCATTAAATGATAATTTTATAATACTATATTGTGAATGTAATAATAATATTAATAATTGCCTATATTTGCGGTGCCCTTACAGGGTTCTTGTTTTGAACATTTTTTTAAATATAAGAAATGTACAACAAGAATAGCAAATAAATTGAATTAAATTGAATTAAGTGTAACGACGCATCTGCATTTTGATTCCTTAACGAGGTTAGATATGTTTGTGGGCCACAGCACCAACTTACCACAAGATGGAATGTGTGCTGGTTTGCTATCATTACTTCTGTTAAAATACTTCATAAAGTCATTATCATCGTCATCTTCATTACAGTCCGTCATAAGTTCACTACTGAACATAGGCCTCTTTGAAGGAATGCCACAAATCACGGCCCTGAGCCACCTGCATCCATCGATTCCCTTTATGTCTTACCAGGTCATCTCTCCATCTAGGGGGTCTCTTTAACTTTATCTACCGGTACGAGGTGCGGTGCCACTCGAGAACCTTTTTTCCCAATCGGTTGTCGGTTCTTCAAGCTATATATCTGGCCTTTTACCAATTCAGCTTAGTAATTTGTCAAGCTATATTCGAGGACTAAGTTATGCCTTATTTCCACTTATAAGCCCCTTACACGACCCCGCCTTTCTACACTGATCATTATAAGGTATACTGTAAGAGCGGGTTCCTTCCCCGGTGAAGTCGATACATTATTGTTGCTACCATAGTATAGCTGCAATGTTGTTCTATTACCGAGTACGTTACACGCGACGGGTTGCTGATAAAAGTCAAAATTTACCAACCACTTAAATTGCTGAAGTTACCGCTCAAACCATCTTTAAATTAATTACGCAGTAAAAATATATTAAAAATACGACAACACCACGATAGTTGAAGATTTCCCTTAATTCCCGCGCTTAACAAATAGAGGTATGACCACTACACCGGTAAAACACACACACTCAAATTGTGCTTCTTTCTGGCGGGGCATCATCATAGAGTTTTCGACACAATCTGCAGTTAGTTTGCCAAAAATATCCACGTTCGTTTGGAGCATTTCGTCACTATCACACTCACGCTTAAAAACTCTTTATTTTTCATACTCTCGCAGAAAGAAGTCTAACGGTTCATATCCGGCGAGCCGCTTGGAGCCAGAAACACACGCGTAACCACCTGGTTAAGCGTGTGTTCCTGGTTGCCGATTAAGCGATTATCAAATAGTCGTTGCGGCACTCACGGAAGAACCTCACGACATGTGGTGGTCATGCTGGAACAATGTACGTCAATATTCGGCCAACGATAGGTCGTCTAAAATGTCAACCAACTGTTCATTTATGAAGTTAAGGCATCGCTATCCGTTAAGTCGCTGTGACAGAAACACTGATCCCAGTATGCGATCCTTAAATAAACCTGGCCATAAGTTAACCAACCATCGGGTCTGGTGTCCGGTTTGTAAAGCTGCGAGCAGGCTAACCGCGCAGTAAAGAAATAAGCTGCCGCACGGCTCTACTACCTCCAAGATCACAACCTCGAGATTAATTTCAAAAAGACTAAACTTTTGCAATTTAGGCCATACCAAAAACGCCCCTTACATATCAACTACCAATACCTAAATATTCCCTTAGAATCTGTTAACTCTCACTATCTCCTGGGTATAAATACAGATGCACATTTAAATTGGAAGGAACACATTAATAAAATTGTCCAAAATTATTTTAGTTTTACATACGCTCTTATAGAACTTAAAAAAAAAAACACCGACTTAAAAACAGCAACCTGTGCCTACTACGCGTACGCAGACGCCTGGATACGCTACAGTGTGGTACTTTGGGGTAACAGCACAGACGCTAACAAAGTATTTCTAATTCAGAAAAAATGTATTCGCATATTTGCAAATATCGACTCCATAACAAGTTGTAGAAATTACTTTATCAATTATAATATCCTGACATTAACATCCCTATATATATCCGAAATATACTCACTAGTTAGAAATAATATCAACTGGTTCCCTCAATATTTTAGGTTAACCGCGCAGTAAAGAAGTAAGCTGCCGCACGGCTCTACTACCGTTAAGGCTCTTTGCGCATTGTATCGACCAGTCGTCGCCGGCGACTCCGTCGACAGCGACAGTGACTTTGTATAGTTTAAATAGGTGTTTACGCACTTAGTTGCCGGTTGCCCGGGCGACTCGGCAACTTGCTGCGCAGTGGCGTCGCACATGAGACTGCCCGAATGTACATGGAATACTGTTGCTCTGCTTGGTGGCCGGTCGCCGAGAAACTGAGTTGCTGGCAACCAGTCGACAGTGCGTAAAGGCTCTAAAACGAAAAGGCCAGTAATTACCAGTAAACTTGATAGGTTTAGCTGATCTTTCATAGGCTGAAATAATGGTCACGATGAAAACACAATATCGTAGCACATTCAATAATACATCTATAACTATATTATAAATAAATGTGTAATTGTTCCTTTTATAGTACTTCACCAATAACTTCAAAATTTTGACACAACGTTACATTTGATATTCGCATGATTTATACACTTTTTGAAGCATAGCGACGCGATGACATCATGGAATTGAAGTATGTCTCTCATATAATAAAAAATAACATAAAAATTATTTTTTAAATTTAAGTTGTATGCCTGTCTGTCCGGACTAATCTTCGAAATAACTGAACCAATTGTAACGAAAGTCACGAACACATACAGAGCATTGCAAAGAGCGATCTAGTCTTTAATTGATCGGATATGCTTCCCGTTAAAAAAAAGGAAAATTGATAATATGTAAATAACACCACATTAATAAATCTTACCGAAACGAAGCTGGAGGGGGTCGCCAGTAATAATTAAACTATGAAGTTAATTGAAAAGCGGGCTATTTATATTTGTAAAATTAGTATTCTCTGTCATCAGCCCCCGTGTTAACTTTTTTCCTTAAACCAAGCATAATGAATTATCTTCATTACAAATTAACTAAGGAATCACCCCTAAGACATTTGCTTACTTGATTACGAATTCCAACAGAATAATGATGAAATATCTCGTTATCAGTAAAAAGTCTTTGGTTTTCTTCACTCACCATTTGTGTTCACAATACCGCTGTATTATAATGTTATTTCACGCCATTCCGTGTGTTTGATCCTAACCCGATGGAGCCGACCTTATCATTCTGCATTCATGTTTCGCTGCGTAACCACATGCAAATTATAAAACCAATATAGAAGTATTTTACATTATGAGTAATACTTATTAAATATCACAATAATTAAACACATTACGATACGATATCTTCACTTGCAGTTAACAGTTCGATGTTTTATACTGCCAGTAGTAATCAACCTAGATTTTTCCGTACTAAGTAAATTTAAGACCAAAGCTTGTCTTGTTACCTAGTGTTCTTAATATTTATTCCTTTTTTTATGTGTCCGACATCCGTTTATTTAAATAAAGAGCTCCATTCATATTCATGTAGCTTTTACATTATTTAGCATTATAATAGAATTACAAATATAATGAATTTGGCTTGTCACTTCCGAACTTTTTACTTAAATTACATTAACTTTAATTCATTATTTTTGTAGGCACTTTAAAATCATAAAAATAAACGCATATATTTTGATATTATGCGTTAATTCTTTAGTACGATACCTTTTTTAATATTGATCTAATTAATTTTTGTGTCCTTTACGATTACACGAAAACATTGTCTCTTCCATTTATTTCTATTTCTTTATTAGATTATTTTGCAAAGTTTGTAAAACGTCTTAAGTTCAAAGACAATCATACTTCATAGTTCTATGCATGTTCGGAATTCTGTTTAGCTCAAGTCTGAATCCAGTTACAATTTCGCTAATCACTTAGTGGTAGTTGACGCTTCGAGTTCAGTGTGTGTTAAAGTTTTACTCTTGTCGCGAATTCTATATTCAAAAATCTGTTTTCATTGAATTGAGATTATACGTTTGTTTTTAATTTATATTAATTTGTTTGCGATACATATCATCTGCCTTTGGATAGTTTAAATTAATAATATAAATTTACGCATATAATAAAATTGTAAACAGTTTTTTGTCTGTACATTTTGTGCACACTAATGTCTACAATGGCTGAACAAATTTTAAAGTAGTTTTTAATGACAAATTGTGATAAGCTGGAGCAAGTATTTAGTGTTTCCTTTATTTGAGTTAGTTGATAGTTAAAAAAGCTATTTCAATTTATGAGGGCACCCGCTTGACCTGCCGCGCCCATAAGTTGGATTTTTTTCGGCGCAGACTAAACGATAAACATTGAATATAAGAACTTTCCATTAATCAAACAACTGTTATTACCTCTACTGATATAGCTTATTAGTAAGGTGTTTAAGTTATCGAAAGAAATGGTCGCTGCCATTAATGCTGCCTTTAATTAAAATTTTAGGTACCTACTTTAGGTTTTTCCGAGTCGATATTTTTCGATTTTATTCCTGGTCGTTGCGCGGAAAACCATTCGTATTTTTATTTTATTCGTGGGTATGCTCGCCAAGCGTTTTGTCCTTTCCATAACCTATTGTCCTCCCGACACACCGGGGTGGTGGGGTGAGAGGAAAAAGAAGAAAGTTCTAGAATGTCACGTGATTCTCGCAACCAATGAGAAGCGCGCCCCATCTAAACGTATTGAGAGAAGAACCGAAGTTACATAAGCGCACGCGCCCCTCGTGCGCTCTCTTCCCTTTGCGCACCTAGTTGGAACCACATCGTCTAGGACAGTCGCGTCCTAGAGGGCTCTTGCTGACGCGCACCGCTAGTTCAACCGCACCACGCCTGGAGTAGTCGCGCTCCAGGAGTAACCGCCTCACCTCGTGTGAGATTTAGTCGCGCACCGCTCTCTTCCATCGCACCACCAAGCAGGACCGCATCCCTGGGGCTCCAGGAGATCCGCCAGAAGTCGCACCGCAGCAGCAAAGCGTCCAAGCCGCATCGAAGTAACACCCCGGTAAGTGCGCTTCCTTATTGATGTTACCTGCTTGAATATTTGTGTTTTATTAGTTCATCCGCCTCAATTTCATTTCTCCTAATATGATCAAGCAGGGTTCCTTCATAAACCTTGGCAAGCAATAGGTATTTTTTTTGGAAGAGCGAGTGCATTCTCAGGGAACCGCGTGCCAAATCCGCCATCTTGTTTAGGCATCATACGCGTATACTGTCCACATAGTGTAACATCTCGTGTAATAGGGTCAAGGCTCGACCGGGGAATTGTGACTCGGCAACCTTAAGGCCCGCTGCCCAACCATTTTCTGGTCCTTCGGCCGGATTTGGACTGGCCCGTAGCCTCACCAACCATTTTCTGATCCTTCGGCCGGATTTGGACTGATGCCTTATAGCCTCACCAATCATTGCTAGATTTATTTCATTTTAGATTAATTCCTTAGACAATGCACTCTAATTTAATATTGAATAGATTTTAAGAGTGTTCGTTTAGTTTAAATTTAAACTTTGGTTAGTTATTCGCAAATAGAATTATTTATTCAAAATAGTGTTTGTTTGGTTTGAGTTTGGAATTTATTGGTTACTCGCATAGGCGAATCGACTTATTCATTTTAAATAGTTTGGTTCCGTACGGTTTATTAGGCTACCCGACATTTGTAAAAAAAAACAGTGTGAGTTTAGCGACCAACAAGCGTTGTACAGGTGTTCAATTTAACGACGTAATACGGCACGATAAGACAAAAGTGTTGTGAGGTATAGTTGTATTACATTGCGTCCATCCTCCAGCGTTGTGCGATTAATTGTGATGATAAATAATAATAATAATAACGTTTATTTCTCACCACAAACAAAGTTAGGTACATTGAGAGTTATAAGTAGCATATAAGTAGTACAAAACAACTTTGCCCGTGGATCGCTGGTGCCTATGGTGGGTAAGATACCCGTATTACAGGTCACCAGGTCTCCACCTCTGCGAGGAATGCTATTTATATCTAAAACATTAACACATAAAGATTAACTCTATTTCCTTATTTGTCATACCTAATTGAAATAATTGGTTATGGTTAAGAAAACTTAGAAAAATGTGTGTGTGTGTGTGTGTGTGTGTGTGTGTGTGTGTGTGTGAGTGTGTGTGTGTGTGTGTGTGTGTGTGTGTGTGCGTGTATGTATATTTTACGCGACAACCTTTAAAAGACTTTCTGTTTTTGCGTGATAAATATATATATATATATATATATATATATATATAAATAGCCGAATATTATAAATCGCCGAAATATTATCCTATAAATAATTTAATAGGATAATATTTCGGCAACCTCTTATTGTTGTATGGCTGTCGAACCGCTCGAGTCGTTAGTCCGCAAATTTTGGGAGATGGAGGAGGTTAACATTCCACCTTTAGTTAGCTCAGATGATAGATTATGTGAGAACATTTACGTCCGCACGACCGTTCGTGATCGCGACGGGCGATATAGTGTAGCGCTACCCTTTAAAGGAGATGTTTTATCTCTCGGCGATTCGAGACAAATGGCGGAAAAACGTTTCTACAGTTTGGAGCGTAGGATGCTCGCTTCACCCCAATTAAAGGAAGCTTATGACGGCGTCATTAACGAATATATAAGGGAAGGTTACATATCACTTGTGGCTCCGAAATTACATAACTACGAAGATACACCGTCGTATTTCATACTACATCACGGGGTCATTAGGGAAGACAAACTTACGTCTAAGTTACGTGTAGTGCTCCACGCTAGTGCTAAAACTAGCACTCACCTTTCTCTTAACGATATCATCTATAGTGGGAAAAATTTACAGGGCAGTTTATTTAATATAATAGCAAATTTTCGTATGTTTAGTATAGCACTATCCGCCGATATTTGCCAAATGTTTCTTTGCATAGGAGTCCGTGAATGCAACCGTCGATTCCAACGCATTTTATATCGTTTCAACCCAAAAAAAACTTCTAATGGTGTTTGAATTTAACCGCGTTTGCTTTGGTTTAAAGTCGAGCCCATTTCGTGCGTTACGCACGGTGAGACAGCTCACCTACGATGAAGGTCCCTCTTATCCTAAAGCTAAGAGGGCAATTGAAAGTGGATTATATATGGATGATTTTGTGCACTCGGTCGATAGCGTGGAGGAGGCCACCCTAACCACCGCCGAGGTTATAAAGCTCATGACATCGGGTCAATTCGATCTTGTCAAGTGGACTAGTAATTTGCGTCCGGTTTTAGATACAATCCCACTATCACACCGTCTTTCGGCGATAAAGGAATTCGACGATTCTGATACGCACGAGGTGCTCGGTCTGTGTTGTTCACCAGAATCCGACGTATTTAGCCTTAAGGTAAGCCCGCCCGCAGAAACGTGCACAAAGCGCACAATGCTGTCATGCGTTGCTATATTATGGGA